ACGCAGGTCACTCCAGCCACAGTGGGAAATGGGATTTTGACTCTCTTTGCGGAGAATCATGGCATGCCACCAATGGGCATAAATCCTCAACTAGGAATGCTTTACTTTATTTTTCAGACTTTATCCTTAGGGGTTTTTTTTAACCAATAGACTTGGTGTTTTAAAATCAGATTATAACAATATCCATATCCAATAATAAAAACAACAAAAAATACAGGCAAGTTCTTAATAAGCATATAAAGACAGTAACAGCCTTACAGAATTTCTTAAAACAGTTTTCACTGTCTGTCTGAATGCAAGTAGCAAAGGAGCCTGGAGGTTAATTAAGATGGTTGTTTATGATCTTGAGCATCACAGCGGAAAAGAATGTGTCTTGGGCACAGGCCTATTTTATCTTTATAGTGAATATCTGTGAACTCATAACAATTGATGTAGGGGAGATGCTCTAATTCAGGACTGTTTAGGACTTCATGGCCAACATTTATCAGCCATAGCATTAGTCAACATCGCAAGGTGTAGAGAACTGGAGCCAGCAAGTACTTCATGCAGATCTATAAAAATCTTAAAAAGTCCAGATAAATTGAAAATGAATGGTCATGGATCACATTTTCTAGATTCTATAAAACTCAGTTTCACTTCCTGCAGCAACAAGCAAAGAGAATTAAGGGGGAGGGCTCAACATCAAGACAGTATGACCCCAAAAAACTACTCATCAGTTCTGTCTAGTTCATAGCCCTCTTCTTCAAGGCTATTCTGAGATACATGGCTGGCAAGTCATCTCAGCTGCACATGCACACCAGTAGAAATAGAAATAACGTTGGACAAGGTAAATATGTAAATTGGAGTAGAGTGGCCAAAGCTTCCAAATTCTGGTGAGCTCCTAGCATATGCTGGGGCTAGCACAGGTAATAAACATCTTAATCTCCCCCAAAACACTTGTGTCTATAAAAGAAATTGAAGAACAATGGTCAATGGAAAATTAGGACAAAAAGAGACAGTTCCCAAGTTTTCAGGCTAATGTGATATATTCACATTTCCTGCCTGGTGAATAAGAGCTTATTTAGATGGAGAAAGAGAATCAGAAAGTATAGAAATTAGCACTTAATTACACTATACTGCATACACACACCCTTCCTACTGTGCTGTAGCTCTAATGAGACCATTTTGGTGCTCTGCAAGATCATCCTGATAGTTCTCTCAAGTGGAAGGTCTGGATTATGTTCCTAGCCCATATCTCTTTCCCACCCAAATGTATTGTCATCAGAACACTCTAAACCAACAGTCTTCAGACTTTTTAAACAGAGAGCCAGGTCACAGTCCCTCAAACTGTTGGACGGCGAGATTATAATTTGAAAAATAATAATAAATGAATTCCGATGCACATTGCACATATCTTATTTGTAGTGCAAAAACCACTTTAAAACAATACAATAATTAAAATGAATACAATGTTAACAAATAAAACTTATTAGTATGTCAATGGTAAGCGTGGACCTGCTTTTGGCAATGTGATAGGATTATTGTTGTTGTCGTTGTGTGCTTTCAAGTCATTTCAAACTTAGGTTGACCCTGAGCAAGGGCCAGGTAAATGACCTTGGAGGTCCGTTTCCGGCCCCCGGGCATTAGTTTGAGGACCCCTGCTCTAAACAGATAGTTTTTCATTATGGAGACCACATAAGCACATCCCTTTCTTTTCTTGCTGGATCGCCATTGTCCCAGTGAGCTAGGCAGCTTAAGATTTTGCTCCCTTAGATGTTCCTGTTGTAATATACATTCATCCATGTGTCTCACCAAAAAATTGACAGCCCTCGTTGTTGTAGGAACAGTGATACAGCTAAATCATGGAATTGGAAGAGACCCCAAGGGCCATCTAGTCCAATCCCATTTTGCCATGCAGGAACACAGAATTCAAAACAAACCTGACAGACATCCAAGCAGCCTCTGTTTAAAAATATTCAGGGGGGAAAATTCCACCAGAGTTTTGGAAATTGACCAGGCACTACTATAGCAGTTTTAGAAAGCCTGTGGTGCACTGCGTGTCTTTAGAGCTTATTCTGATATTGTTATTTTGTGGTTCCTGCTGCTTTAAGATAGTTGTAGAGTGGACATCCAGTAAAGTGGATTAAGAGGACAATGGGAAAAGATATTAGAAATAATGTGATCATGGTAAGCAAAAAATATGTATATGCAGTATGAAGAAAACTCAAAGGTGGGATTAAAAGTTGGGGAAATACAGAAATTGTGACAATTTACCATGGATGAAATGATCTTGAATCCTGTTGGTATCGTACACATGTGCCCATTCCCCTACAGAAGCATTGAGGCATATTCACTTAAAGAGGCAGAGTTACACATGCAGTACCATGCCTAAGCTTGACCAATGTGTATCTGCCTGTCCCTGCAGAAAGTGGGAATAGTATTCTTTTGTTTGCACATTCAGTTATGCAACGTTGCCATTTAATACATGGGTTGTGCAGCACAGCCAGCACATAACTCTGCTGTGCAACCCCACATTGAATTTTTCCCACAGTTTTAATAGATATAATGCCATCTGTCTACCAAGATGAATTTTTCATTTTCATTTTGCCTCTTTTGTTTTGATTTGATTTCGCCCTGTGTAGAGGATAATGACATATATTTGTGATCTACATTGTGAAAGACAGTGAGAACTGATTTTTTATTTTATCTTAGTATTTTTCTTAGTGATACGGAGAAGTTTCCATCCCCTCTTTTCATGCCTCAGCCTCAAAGGTGTGTTTGTAGGAAAGCAGATATATTGCTAGCTGATTTTGATGAACAGACAAGCTGAAACGATCAAGGCTCAACTTTTTTTTTTACTGGAAGTGAAACTTGTTGTGTGAAGCATGACAGTTGGTTGCCCAATCAAACAACCTTTCAGATATTTCTTTTTTTAGCAATCAAATGCCAATCTGTCAGGAGAGAATGCAGTTCGGTGTGTTGCAACATTTTGACTAATAATTGGTGTGTCTTTATATTTTGACTAGACTGGAATTCAACATAAACACTACTTGGACTCAAAGAAAACATTTATGATTAAATTGTTAAAATATTTTGACAGTTTGCTCTAGGTAGTCTGAGCTCAGCTTTTATGCGTTGTTGTAAGTTCCTGTGGCTTTTTTCTCTCTTAGTTCTGAATGCAAGACAAACATTTCACACTTGCCAGTTGTGACTGATCTCTCTGGGCTTGTTTTATAAAGTGAAACAAAACGAGGAGGGGGGAGTGGAAGACATGCCACCTCCTTTTTTCTGAGGATGGTCTGATTGAGAGTACGAAGAGCTTTTAAATTCTGTGACAGAAGAGACTATGAAGTTGGTAGCTTGAGGCTTATTTTTAAAATCTCAGTGTGCTATTTAAACTTGTTTGCCTCCTCAAATTTAAGTCATGTCATCACTAGTTTGGATTAGTTCTGTCTGGCTGTAGTTGGACCTGCACCAGATCAGTCTTTTGTTCCTGGAGAGAGGCAACAGAAGAAAGGCCAAGCCTCACCCATTGCCATCGTACATGCAAGAATCTAAGTAGGCGGCAATTTTTGTTAGCTTAACGTGATGATTTCTGAGGAAGTATTTGATAATCCAAATGTCAGAAAGACCAGGTTACAATTCAGATTGTAAAGAATACTCGTGTTTACTTCTGTATGTTGCCCGATCTGAATGGCTTGAAGTGTTTAATGGTCCTCGTTTCTACTTTTTCCTCCATGCCTTCTCCAGAAAGGAAGTCCTGTAAAGGAATCTCTGTTACTCCACAGGGAACTACATTTGAAAAAGAATAGTGACCATGCACATATATGTGAAAGGACTTGATCACACATAGGGACATCTTTAGATTTCAACCAGACTATGTTATTCCTTGTATATATAGCTTTATTGTCAATGCTTGCCTCTTCAAAAGTACAGAAATCTTCTAGTTGTTGTCAAACTGTTTTATCCAAAGTTTTGAGCAACCATATACTTGTTTCAAATGGATCCAGAGTAACAGACATAGATTGAAACCCTATCCTACTGAGTACATGATCTGAATACTTGTACAGAGAAATAGCTCTGAAGTCAATATGCAGACACTTCACATTTATGGGTTTCACTTTTGTGGATTTGAATAATGTTCTCTCTGGGAATTTTTAGGTCCTTCAGCAAGACTCTAAGGCCAACCTTTGCCGAAAGTTGATTACAGAGTCACACTGGAGAACTTATAGATTCCTAGTGATAAAGCTTTTCTAGATATATGTATGTCTTCCATTGCTATTTTTCATCACTTTCTGGTGGTAATTGACTATAGCATTGTACCAGAAATTGCTGGGGAGGTGTTCCCTCAGGTAACAAAATAGTGGTTTTTTAATCATAGTTCCTCTTTGTGGTCTCTGTGAAATCACACATATGGTATTTCCTTCACCTGCGCAGTCAGTTTGGAATCTTCTAGAAATCTTCAAGACACCATATGTGCAAATTTCACAGATGACTGCTCGAAGAAACAAGTAGGTAAGCAACTATTCTTTTTTCCACTTCCACAGAGGTCTTGCACAGCTAATCCCAGCAAATGTAGAGGACCTACTGAAATTAGTCCAGAAGAAGTTGTTCAGTATTATAGCCACAGATAAAATATTTAAAATTTCCAGTTAAAACCCATCTCTTGGCAACCATGACATCTGAGTCATGTTGGAATTCAAAGATTTGACAGAGCAAAAGAGACTCAAGGATATGATTTTCTTAAAATTCGTTTTGAACCTTGGGGCTGCATCTTTCTCATTGTTAGAGTAAATCTGTTGAAATCACTATGACACAACTTAGTCCTGTCTGTTTTTATTTTGACTGATTTTAGCCGATCTCCTGTAAATATGATTAGGGATAGTTCTGTAGCTCAGGAATATTAGATATGGGTTCTGGATTATGCATTCCATTTCCTCAATGAAAATATCTTGCTTTAAGAAAAAAAGTCATATATACCATATATTCTAAGTTATGTTTGTCATTTCTTATTCTTTTAGGACATTACACCTTTAACTGGTGTACCAGAGGAACATATTAAAACCAGGAAAGTGCACATTTTTGTTCCAGCACGTAACGCCATGCAAGCTGGTGTTAACAATACCAAAAAATGGAAGATGGAATTTGATACAAGGGAGCGCTGGGAAAACCCTTTGATGGGCTGGGCATCTACGTAAGTATTATGTTCAGATAACTGAACTCTTGCAAAGCAGTCTCCTCCACATCTTTCCTGTCTGTCTCTGTATCTCTGCTCAAGCCATCTGATTACCTGATCTGATATATAGATGCTTGAAAATCTCAGAGAGGGATAGACTGCTTACAGCCAAGTTATCTGAGGCCTACAAAATTTAGTATGTTAGCAGTGTAATTCCAAAACCATGCTCAGTTTATCTTATCAGGCAGGACTATCCTTGCCCTTTCTTTTTATCTGAATAGGACAAAGTTTAGAGTTTGAATTCATTTACAGTATTTGAAGCAAAGCAGGCAGAAATCCATATCTACCTTTCGTATGCAATACGATTCCTATACCTGTGGGGGATGCATTCTCTGATTTTGGATGGATACACAAACCACAGATAATAACGAACCCTATTGAAATAAAGGATTACTGGCTGAAGAATGCCATTCAGTCATGCTGGAAGACCTAGAAAATGCCTAAAGAGAACATATTTTGCCAGACCTGGATAAATGAAACTATGGATAATAGTTCTGTGACTATGGGATCATACTGTATAGGTGTTAACTCTGAACCTCCATCATTTATCTGCAATGTGAAAATAATAATGCTGAGATAATTACTAACTGTATGTAAAGTTCCCAAAACATTTACATAGTGCTATTTAAATACTTAGTACTGTTCCGATGGCAGACATTTCCTGTACATTTAAGAGGACTTTCAGTGATTCAATGAAAGCTACATGTTGGTAACACTTTATAATAAATGTTTTTGCAGTGATCACAACAATATGTGAGATGTTGAGCTGATAGAGTCAATGTTCATTCTGCTGCCCTAAATATGTTTAGTAACATATTTAGATTGCTGTCGCCCAAGGCAGGCAACAAGAGGCTGGAAAATACCTTCGATTTCCTTCTCTTCCTAATGTAATATTGTGTGACCTCCAAAATGAATGTTGGCATTTGTTTGTTGCACAGCCTCTTGTGGCAGCATCTCCATGATGTTATAATCACTGGTTAAAGTCTATGTTAACTGCACAATAAAATAATCTATCCAGCTCAAAACCAGACTGTACATATAGTCTATTTCCTTGCTTTCTAAATGTTAAGTTTTAAATTCGGTATCTTTCTAAGAAAGTTACTGAAGATTTTGTAAAGATCTTTTTTTACTGCATATCAAAATAACATTTTAGCAGAGAGGCAACTGTGTCCAGTATCTTTAGTTTCCCTTTTGTTACCTTGGGATGAGGTTTTAAATTATTTCAGACACACAGTAATAGGTATGTATTCTCATAAATTCTGAGAATTCATCTGGCTTCCCTTGGTACCACTGAAAGTTCTATTTTAGTGACTATGGTGGTGTTATTCATGAAAAAGATGTTCTGAAAAAGTAAGCACTGCACATATTTAACATTTTGGGCTGGGCTGTGGGCTGGATGTTTGACTCACACTAAAAGTTGAAGGCTGAGAATTCCTGGACCTATTGTGATTCACCCTTCTCCAGTTTAGAAATAAAAAAGTCAGCAAGAAAGCAGAAAATGTAAATTATCTTTTTCTGCTGCCGCATTCTCTTTTTCTGACATCACCAAATGCATTTCCTGTCCCAGGTGTGGGAAGCTGCAGACTAGCATTTGGTACAGAAAATGTATATCACACCTCAAACAGAATATAGATATTTGGTTGGAATGTCTATCCAATTGTTTGATTTATTGTTAGCCATTTTTAGAATTAACCAGTCCGCAAAACTTTTGCTTTACTTGTGGTCAATTATTCTGTGAAGTCTAAGCCTCATGCTTTCTAATGTCTGTATTAGAATGAGCAACATATGGTCTGTAGGCCATATCCTGCTCCCCCAGGCTGTTTTTATGGGACCTCTAGTTACCCTCAAATACCATTGAATTTCAGTGGCAGACCACTAAAGGCCATTAAAACCAGCATGCTTTAAATAGGTTTTAATGAGTTGTCACCAACACTCAATAGCAAACCAAGAAAATACCATTAAAGTAAGTATTTCCAGCTTGTTTTTATGACTTTTCCCACTTTTTTTGCCAGAATTCAGCAATGTGATTTTCCACCAAATTTCAGCACTGTGCTGGGTCCCAAGTTATGAAACTGGTTCCCAGGTTGACTAAAGTGGAACACCGTACATCTGTATAATGCTACATAATGCCATCATTTGGGAGTTTAGTGCCACCCATATATTGATGACAATTAGTTCTGTTTCTGCAAAACCATCCGAGACAGTAGAACTACCAAATCAATGCTTGGTTTCAATAATGAACTCAGTGGGAAGCAATTAACTGAAGTTTAGTCTTGATGAGATGCAGATCCTGTGAGCTGATGAGTCTCATCTTTACAGATGTGATGTTGAATCTGTTCTGAACAGCATTATAGTATTATAAGAACTGTTTTTACCATGGGTAGATGATTACAACTGTTTTTGGATCACAACTGTAACCATATCTAACCAGCATAGCCAATGGTAAAGAACCCTGCAAGATGTAGTTCAGTTGTATCTGGAAGGTCCACTTTGTCCATCGTTAGCTTAGGAGCAGTGATGCAGGATAGGAAATTTTCCACGGTTGTATCTTTCTATGGAAAAATTGCATATACAGTAGAGGCATACTTATCCAACCTACACTCATCCAACGTTCTATATTATCCAACCAGTCTGCCTCCTGCCCAGATCCATAGTTGTTTCAATACATTGCGATGTTTTGGTGCTAAATTCATATATACAGTAATTACTACATAACGTTACTTGTACTTTGAACTGTTTTTTTCTGTCGATTTGTTGTAAAACATGAAATTTTGGTGCTTAATTTGTAAAATCATAACATAATTTGACATTTAATAGGCTTTTCCTTAATCCCTTCTTATTATCCAACATTTTTGCTTATCCAAAGTTCTGCCAGCCCATTTATGTTGAATAAGTGAGACTCTGCTGTATAAGAGATGCAGCATTTCAATGCTGTACTGCAATTAGTCCTGTTAGATGGGCTAAATTTGGAATATGAAGTTCTAGTTATTCTTCTAAGGAGGCATGCATTGACAAACCCTAGTGCTCTGCAGAACAGACTAAAAACGAATGCACTGTTAAACCTGTTTATTTCTCATAAAATCTCTTGCTTTGCAAGCAGTCACATATACAGGTGTAGTCAAGACTAAATATGACGATCTGTTTGTCTCCACAGACTCACATCCATCCCTTAGTGACATGAAATGTTCAACTCACTGCACTGAATCAATATTTTTTTAACTTGACTTGGACCTCATAAGTAGTAGAGTTAGTGAAAAAAACTGAAGTTGTTATAGTTGCACCTTAATAAATGAAAGTTAAACTGTGGGTATATCAAGTACACATTTCTTTAGATGTGGCCTTAAAAACAGTGTTCTTTCAGGTTTAGCAATTTCATATTCATTTCTCTTTCCATTGTTACAAATATTCCAGTAGAATAATTTCCACATAAAAGTTTGAATGTGTTTGAATATAATATTTAAACCAAGTGTGCTAAATCTGATAACATTATTTAGAGCATCGGAATATTTTCTAGTTTTTGTTCTATACATAGTACTATAGCAATAGATGTTTTTTTTACTATATTTTTGCATTGTGTGGTCACTTCTCAGTTGACTTACTCTGCACAATATGTTACATTTGCAAATTAGTTTTGATGTTTTAATTACTATAGACTGCAACTACATCAAGGTTGACAGGTGTAGTTCAGATCACACCAATGGTAACAGAATATCTTTGGTTGCCTCTTTACCTGATTAAATTGTTGACTGTCCCTAAATGGCTCACAAGCCAAATAACTGCCCATATCAACATGCCCATTCTTTTGCACGACCTGTTGAGACTCTTCTTCATGCCCTCTGTTTCAGTAAGAACTAGAAATATCATCTGCAAAAGAGAGATGGAATGTGTGTGCTTTATTAGCTTGGCACAAATAATCTTACCATGTATGTAGGTGTAATGAAAAAGTTGTTTTATCTCCCTTGGCATCTTAATAGATTTTACTGATTGAATTATGCAAATCTTAGTTGGTTGTAAAGTTTTTACCTGTTTCCTTCTTATTGTCTGTGCATGTGGGTTTTTCTTTAAATGTTATACCCTGGTCTGAAATGATACAAAATGCATAACAGGATTACTCATTTCTTACAGAGCCGATCCTCTATCCAATATGCTTCTGTCCTTCTCTACAAAAGAAACAGCTATTGCCTTTGCTGAAAAAAACGGTATGTCGGACAGTGACCTGGACGCAGACAGCAATCTACTGGCAAACTGCCACATTCTGGAGAGGGCAATCCATTGCTGTTCTCTGGATGCATGATGAAGTGGTGGCATGTGGCTGCTTCTTCAGCATTACAAGAATGTTGCTGTTGAGTAGGTGGCAGTGCCTGTTGTGGCCAATAACATTGTCAACCCGTGCCCAGAACTCAGCAACCCTGTTCTTGCATAATGCCAAAATGGGGGGCTTCACAGATCGGTCCTTCCTGCACACGATTTGAATGGGGAGTCTGGCTTTACCCTTGATTTAGCTGGTCCTGAAAACTGCCCTTCACATTCTCCACTGTCTCTCTTCATTCTTAACTTCCTCACACCCCTTCTGTCATTCTCCATCTTATTACCAAGACAGTATGGTAGGGTCCCTCTTGTTCCCCCAACTCACTGTTATCTGTTGTGTTGGATGCCAAGCATCCCAGACATATTTCTCCTTTGTGCATTGTCTAATTTAAAAGGCTGCTGCCTTGTTTTATGGCTTTTGCTTTTCCCAAACTCTCTTTCCCAGTGACATAACTGCCCAATAACTGTCATGCTACTATGCAGCTTTGCAAATTTACACATACATACACTATTGTCAGAAGTGAATAAACATATCTGGTTTACCAAAGATTTAATTATTTTTGCTGAACTATAAGAAATTGTATTTGGAAAAACCTGTTAAAAGGCACATTTTTCGGAACTGCCCGACTCAAGTCAATTGACTTCACCACAACAGTTTGTTATGGCTCAAAGTCAGCAGGACAATATGTTGTATTTAGACATCTGGATTGTTTTGTCAGTTACTGATGCTCCCTGATACTAAACACAATTACTCAAAATAAACCAGTGGAGATTACTTCAGAGAAATAGGTTTAGCGCTAAGGAGCTGCTTTGAAAGAGACTCACCTCTAATAACACTTATGCACAGTAAGCATTTGTCATAAATAGTATACAGTACACTTACTGAGATGCTCAAATACTACACTCCAGCTGTATTCAGTGGATTGTTAGAATTATTGGAGTCCTTTTCTGCAGGACTAAACATCTTCAGTTTGGAGTATTAGTAGCTGAGCTAAAATATTGCTTGAATGTGTCACTCTTCCTTAGCATTTTACTATGAAGATTTTGAGGAGTTCTTATAATTGTTGACAGCCGCTTAAGTGTTGGCATAAAAAAAATCTGCCCTTTTCTTTATCTCATTTCCTAGAAATATTTGACAAGAAACTTAGTACTCACTGAAGTGAGGAACCAAGAGTGTTGGCCTAAAGCCCAGTATAATGTGGGTGATACACAAGTTTTCCCATATGCCTGTGCCAGGGCACCTTTATCTTGGCCTACTACAAGCCTCACTAATCCCATGACAAGGCCCCCTGAGCACTGAGATTGCCAGGCACATCCAGTGGTGCCAAATTATGTGGTAGTTTATGTGCTAGTTTATAACACTCAAAAACATGGGGCCATTAAACTCATTTTCACTCATGAACTCTAGAGTCAAAAGTTGAACTTGTCTCTAGGGGGATGAAGATTAGTGTGTAGAACCCAGGCCTGTCTAATATCTTCCTGCTTAGTATACATTTGCTGCAGGATAAACTTTTCTTAAATTACTCCTAGTAATGAATTATGCTGGAGATTTTCTTGTGTGTCTGTCTTCTTATACTAGAACTTAAACCACTCTTTTCTGCTCATACAGTTTATCCAAAGAAAGTTTTGGCTAATCTTGGCTTTCTCTTACTAGCCTCTGAGAGCAAATGGAAGCAGACTACTGCCTGCTTGGGAACAAGAAGACAGATTTAGGCTGGTGGTGTGACAGTCACTACTCAGATTGTAAAGAGAGTTTTTTTTGTAAAGGGACAGTACCTTCCCCAAATTCCTATAATCTTAAAAATTTACATTCTGGAAGATTTAATCCCAAATGTAACTTTCCAAAGATCAGGATTTTTTTAACATTTTTTTTTGTTATGTCAGGAGCGACTTGAGAAACTGCAAGTCGCTTCTGGTGTGAGAGAATTGGCCGTCTGCAAGGACATTGCCCAGGGGACGCCCGGATGATTTGATGCCTTGTGGGAGGCTTCTCTCATGTCTCCGCATGAGGAACTGGAGCTGATAGAGGGAGCTCATCCGGCTCAACCCGGATTCGAACCTGCGACCTGTCGGTCTTCAGTCCTGCCGGCACAGGGGTTTAACCCACTGCACCACTGGGGGCTCTGTTTTTTAACATGGGAATGTGTTGTTTACTACTCCATTTAATTCTGATTCAGAATATAATAAGCAACTGCCATTGGCCTAATGCACAGACGTCTACTAATATAGTAAGCATGTAAGGTTTGGATTCTCAAGGGCGATAGAAAATGTTATATAGAATACCCTAATTACAGAACATAGTTCTTTAAAAACAACAAAAATGTACCCTGGGCCGCTCCAGGTGTTTTACCCTGTGATCATCACACTTCTTCAGTTGGTCTTTCAGACTGGGCTGTTGAGACCTGCAGTTTGAAACATCTGGATGGACCTGTGTTGGGAGAACATAATTGCTGACATCCTGTTGATTAGTTAAATGAAATAATAGCAGATGGGGGTTGATGTTCGAGGTCATTAACTACTGAACGTGACTCCTAAAACCTTACATTTTCTGCCTAGCAGTGCCCCAGTCAAAGGGTTTCTGAGGTGCTGAGAAATTATTTCTGCGGCCCTCTTCCAGTTGCAGGGCCCCTTGAGACAAGCAACAACAGGAAGATTCCCTGAGGATCTCTCCAGCTGCCTGTCCTCAACACACTGCAACCCAGACCACACTGCAAATGTTATTTCCCAATGCGCCAAACTACAGCGTCTTGGAAACCCTCTGGCTTCGGTGCCAAATTAAAGAGGTGTCCTTGTATTTATGTCTGATGATGCAGGACTCATTCATGATTGTTTCCCCATTTTATATAACTTATTCATGCTCTTCTATGAATAAAACCATTAATCTGTTCTGAAGGAGTGTGCTGGGTGAAATAATAGAAACATAAACTCATTAAGGGCCTGGAGTTTCCCACTGCAACTCTCCTACCCATTGCTGTCCATGGTACCCTCTTTATAAAATTTCCTCTTGTCTCTTCCACGCCATCTTCAGCATGGTAGTTTGGGGTTAATATACTGTATTTTGATAACTGAGAGACAAGAAAGAATAACATGCTCAAGTTACAAACTTGTCCATACTGTAGCCCAAAGATTCTTAATCTTTTTCTGCCAGGGAGCCATTTGACAGTTTAATGAAGACTGTGGTCTGCTTCACAAAATAAAAGTGGGTCCACAGACTTCACATACATTCTTTTCTAGTAGTGGGTCTAATAACTAGGCCACATCCTATATCACAGCCATAGTAAAGAAACTAAATTACATTTCATATCCTTTCTGACTCCCCAAGCCTACCTCAAGAGTTGGCAGCCATACCAAGTAATGGAGGCCTGTTCTGCTGGCAGTTGGAGCACAGCAGAATGACATTTCCATTCCCCACCCTGCAGCATCTGTAGTAGGACAAGAAATCGTGGTAGTAGCCCTGCTTCTGACTGTTGCCCTGCAAATCACTGATGAGAGGGGACCGGAAACATCAAACAGTTGCACCTTGATCACTAGCTGAACAGACCTGTGTGGCTCAGTGCAGCTGTTGACTGTTAAGGTAGGGTTGCGCTGGGCATTTCTGATTGTGACAATAATGCCACAATCATGAACATGATACTAGCCAGTTAACAGGTAAGTCTAGCTTAAGCACATTTGAAGGACAGACTTCGTTCTCGTACATTTATACACAAGTAGAATGTTTCCCAAATCAAGGATTCCAATCAACTAGGGTTCTTAATAGTAAATGTCAGCAGTGCATCTTTTTAGTCCTTCCTGCTGAACATGACAACACTGAATAGAGAGGGTTAGTACCAGAGTCATAGAACTATGGTGAACAGCACCACCTTTATGCCCACTTAAAGCCCTCACGTATTCAAGACCCAGTATGTCCTTCACAGAAGAGTAATACTTTCAGAAACTGCCATAGATGTCCATCATTAGAATTTGTGCCTTTTGTTCTTTGAACAGAAAACCAATGTCATTTCTCATTACAAACTGGTTGTGAAATACCACCTTCACCAACCGTCAAAAAGTTGTGTGGTGAAGAATGGTGATAGGGCTGGCTGATGTTCTAGAAACATGTTGAGGCGCTACTTGAGTGTATGGAACTATTTGTGTATAAGAAGAGAATGAAAGAAGACCTTCTCCCTTTCTCCTACATCCTGATAGCCCTCAGGACCCAAACACAGAAATTGTATTTATTGTGTTTTTGCAGGGTGGGGAATGGAAATGTCAAACACAGAAATTGTATTTATTGTGTTTTAATAACTCCACAATCAAGATGTTTTATCCTCTCTGAACTGCATCTGTTAGTCTGAGATTCCCCTTTATCTTCTATCATCATCACTTCCTCCTCTGTGCCATCATTATCATACTTCTGCAGCTGCTCAATCTGAAAGAAGGCTTCTGCTAGAGCAAAGGGGGAAAACCTCATTCAAGAGATTAGTGCCTTTTGATTCCATCTGATTTTTATTTGAGGCCATGGAAGTGTTGGCAATGTTCCTGGTCTACAGAGCAGCTGATTCCGATTTGAAGGCCACTTAATATATTCTCCTAAGCTCACCTCTTTGTCCTTCTTGCTTTCCTTGTGGCATTGTGGTACTCTGCTACCATGCATATTTTCAAAACTTGGCCCGACATCAGATAGAGAGGTGTAGATGCATAAAATTACAGGATTTCATGCGTCAACTGTCGGTGCTGGTCCATCAGCAAGAGCGGTGAAAGTTGGAACATGCAGTGCCTGAGATCTGACAAACCTGAGAACAGGTGTAAGTCACATTTAAGGCATATCTGTCTTAAAGGATTATTGTTCACTGCCTTTTACAAAAGAATAAGCTAGTAATTACATATTGTATATCAAATATGTGGGTTATTTCTTTTTTGTTAGCTCTTAAAAGCTTGAAGTTACATTTGTTTGTGTTGCACTTGCTCCGTCTTATCGGCTGTATGTGTGTTGTTTAGAATTCTCTACATGTTTTTTCCTAGGCTGGAGCTATGATGTTCAAGAGCGGAGGATTCCAAAACCTAAATCCAAGTCTTATGGCGCAAACTTTTCTTGGAACAAAAGGACAAGGGTGTCCACAAAATAGGTTGGCATTGGCTGTCTCTGCATCTGACTGTGAATAAAGTCAGCTGTGCTGTATTTATAGTCCATGTATAATACATCTCTTAATCTCCTAATAAATTTGACCTTTAAACTACTCATGCATCTTGTGGTGTCTATTTAAAATGTTTTTGATGTCTCCAATTGAACCTGTTACAAACTTCCCTATATTTAGAGAGGAGATTTGGGGTGTTCATACCTCTAGGAAATTGCTATATGTGGAATTCATTAAAAGGAATGTCTGAAATGAGCCACAACTTTAAAGACCAAGCCTTGGCTTTTGAGTAATTTTATAGTTCAATAAATACCCACCCTTTCACATTGAAAGGGTGTTAATAGATATTTCTCTAAATTTTTCCCATTATTGTATAGAAGTTACTTAATCTAAGATTGCAAAGTCAATTTCTTCTTGTTGTTTTGACCTGTCCTATAAAATGTATTTTCTCCAAGCATCTTCAAATGAAGGTCAGTCACATTCTGTCTGAGCAAAGATCGAAGGACCTTAATTTTTTGGCACTTGAAGGTACCCTTTCAGTAATGCTTAAATTCCACAGCAGAAGCCCTGGCATTGCTTGCCCTTGATGCATACCCCATAAGAACAGGCAGCTGCTGGAGATCTGACTAAGCCATTTGCTCTCCTTTCCTCCTGGATTGCAGTAAGGCAGCATTTTGCTGGGCAGAATCCTAGCTATGTACCCCAAGTAATAGGGAGGAGATATTGGAGCAAGCAAAAATGACAGAGAGATTATCTTGGCATCTGACAAGACAGTGGTCTATTCCACTACTCTGTCTCAGCCTTCTGGGAGAAAACACAATGTGTGACCAATTTTGATGTTTTTTGTATTTTAGGGCAGGTACCAGTGATTGCCATTCTTCCATCCATACACCACCTAGTGTACTGCCATGGTATGTGCATTATTTTAAATAACTTCACTGAGACACTGAAGCACGAGTAAGCTATTTCTGTCTCGCAGGGCAGGTACAAATATAATTTTACTAACATGTTCTTTCTAGAGGAAGAAGCATTCAAAAAGTGTCTTAATGGTGCTAAAATATGGAAGATTAGTACATAGCCAGCATGCTGAATAGCAGGAAGAACTCAGTGCCTCCCATCAGCACAAAAATTAAAATTGTTCCTCAACAAAGTATAACTCTGAAAAAGAAACTCTTAATCCAAGGGTTGACAATGCAAACTTCAATTTTAGCATTGATACAATGGTTTGTTTATTTGTTTTTCTGTGTCAGGAGCGACTTGAGAAACTGCAAGTCGCTTATGGTGTGAGAGAATTGGCCATCTGCATAGGCAATGCCCAGATGTTTTGATGTTTTACATCCTTGTGGGAGGCTTCTCTCATGTCCCTGCATGGGGAGCTGGAGCTGACAGAGGGAACTCATCTCCGCTATTTCCGATTTGAACCTGCAACCTGTCGGTCTTCAGTCTTGCCGGCACAAGGGTTTAACTCACGGAGCCACTGGGGACTACAATGGTTATTATGTTTGAACTTTCTAACTGTAGGTGAGAGTCATTCATTTAACTCATCCCAGGCTGCAAAGCAGGTATCAATAATGTTCTAGTTATTCACTGTTTAGCAGCAGAATAACAGTGAGGCTGCTTGGGAGGAGGGAAGAAGACAGCACCCTCCCATGAGACAGGAGATCCAGGCCAGTGTGTTATTAAGGACTTACCTGCAGATAAGTCCCTTTCTGGGTGGAGTGCAAATTGCTATTCACATGTCCTTGTGCTCTGGCCAAAAGCCTCCCACTACCCAATTGCTTTCAAGATTAAGGAGGGACTAGGCCACTATTGGAGAAGGAAGGAAGGGTAGAGGCAGCTCAAAGTATGTAGATACAGTTGTTCTGAGCTGCTTGGGGAAGAAAAGGATGGTTCATTCATTGATGTCCCTCATCCCATCACCAAGCTAAAATTAGTTGTATTTATTGTGGTCTTCATCACTTTCTTATTCTCCCCCATCTCTAAAATTAAGCAATATCAGCAGGACTTCTCCATTGCTTGGCAACTGCCAGGCAGTAAGAAGATGCAAAACTGTGCATGTAAGCTCCATGTACATATAGGATCTCATCTATGCTATGTTGCAGTACGTGACGTAGAAAGTTAGAAGGACAAGATGCAGAGAGGCTGTTTCTTATGTTCAAAACATTTTGTATTTTGAAATTAACTTTAAAATCTGCCAAAGATTTAGGGCATGGTTCCAGTTCCATGACAGTGTTACTACATCATGTTGTATTGATGGGACAATTTTAAACAAATCCATCCAATAAGTGGTATTGCAAAGTGTTACACTAATTCCATCTTTTATCTGTATGGGGTGATGAAAGTCTAAATTTGGACTCACTCTAGTTTTTTCCTTTTAATTTCCTGATAGGAACTTGTTTGGCTGAAGCTTATTAATTCATCTGGCAATGTTTACTTACCAGTCAAACCACTCATGTTCAGTATTGGCCCCAAAATGTTTGTTATGCAACTAATTCACTTGTTGAACTCTAAAATAAAAAATAAATGTTTTTCTAAAATAAAAATAAAAATAAAAAATAAATTGTTTTCTAAGACAAGGCAAAGAGCAAGGAAATATATGAACGGAAAGGAAACTATTATTTCTTTTTGAAGCAAATGCCGCGTGGATGTTAACTCTTCAGAAATAATGGAATTACCAAAAATCAATTCTTTCCTCCTTGAATCTTAATCTGTTATTTCTGCTTATGTCCATCATTCTACTCCATCTTAGCTGCTCAAATGTGTTTTAGACCACATTTCAGCTTATTCCAATACATTTGGAGTATTAATTCTGGCATCCAGTCTTCACCCCTTATCTAAAGACCAGTGAAAATGAAAAGTTTTTTCACTGGGAAATTGTACCTTAATATTGGTTTACTAGGTCTGTTTCATACTTGAATGGGAGATCATCAAGGAATGCCAAATGCTGGGGAAGGTTAGAGAATGATAAATCACCTCTTGAAGACACATAAGCACTAAGGTGGAAGAGTCTCCCTAGTTGGCAAGAGCTTCTGAAGAACTCAAGGCAAAACATTTGTTAAATGAAAGCATTGCATTAGCTCATCACGGCCTACTTCAATTGTTAATTCTGATTCAAGTAAACCCATTGAATTAATGGGAACAATGTTCATGAAAGCTTGAGCCTACTGGTAATCCCAGCTAGTGTAGACATATTGATTTGAGATTTTTATGTGTGTCAACTTTCCATTCAACTGTTGCTTTGATGGCATGTTCTAGTTAGAACTTCCAGTGGAATTCAGGCTACAACATGCAGAAGTCAGTCATAACCACATAACACTTACCATTTTCCCACCTACACCGTTATGGGAACAGACAGACAAAATATCAATGTGATCTTGGGTGAAAAAGGAAATGCAATACCAGTGTACTTTTGGCCTTATCTTCAACCAATTCTAGGCAACAAAATTGTATTTATTAATTTTATTTTATTTTAAAGCCTGCCTTTCTGCAACGACAGGGACCCAGGAGCTACAACAACACACGCTGAAACCTCCAGAGCAATTTTCAAATTGTACTGCACAGCATAGCATTCATATATGTGTGTTGTGCAGAGAAGATATAGGTCAGTAGTTGGAGAATGTTGGAATATAATTGTAATGTTCCCTCTATGCTAGAGATGGACTATAGAAGGCTGAATTCTTGGAGGGTCACAATCCCCGCATTGCATCTCCTGGAAAACATGTTTTGTTCTTGCATTTTCTCCAGGTGGGTGGGGATACATTTGTCATAATTTTCAGGCCCCCTGGACCTTCTTAAGCCCAGAGGAGGTCTCATATATCAACAGGAAAGAAGACACATCTTTTCCACTTTCAGGAAGAGGCTTCCCTGGTCCTAAACAAATCTACAGGGACAAAATGTGAAAATGCTCCTATGCCCCCCAATTTGTTTGAACCCTTAGGGTTTACTTGTGGCCTTTGGCTTGCACTTGGCCCATCCCTGTTCTATACAGTACACAAACTTTTCTGCACAAAATACAGAAACATGCGCTCCAGGAAACCTTTCCCCCTTTCAGCCTAGTGATCAGGATATCGGAGGTTTTCTATGAACAAGGTTCTACCTTGGCTGAAGACCAGAAATTCCACACAAACAATGCTAAACCTTGTTGAATAGATTAGGACTTGCTTCCAAAAAGCTTACCATATGATTGTATTAAAAATTTCAGATATAATTCCTTTACATAACTAGATATAGTGATAGAAAGTTGGCAACCCTGCTATAGAACAACCATGCTTCTATGATCCATACTTCTTTCAGCCCAACAAAGCAAATTCCTGAATGTGAGCAGATCATTGTACATCTTCTGCTTGTACAGTATATACACATGATGCCAACCTACATGGGTGATTCCTTTTCAACCCTAATTAAACAATTTAAAATTAATTTCTGGTACATGTAAGAATATAAAGATAGAAATGAAATTACCACAGTCACATGAGACAGCCCACCATTGGAACTGGATCAGGTTTGATGAACAGGAAATAGATGGAAGATTGGATATGGGCACAGTACTCAATAACCATGGTGATGGAATTTCCTGGGCAGAAAAAAGGAAATGGGATTATACTAGAAGGAAATAAATGCAGATAAATTAAAGTTTGGAAGATGGTCTTTTAAAGTTCCCCAATTAAACCCGGGAACAAGAAAAAAAACCCACCCTAAAGCATGGGAAGTCTTGACAAATGAAGACAGGTCAATCATTAATGGTTTTAATAAATCATTTAATAATTTGATACTCATTAAAATTAAGAAAAATATCTGTTAACTCTACCAGGGATAGCTTAATTTGATGAGTAAAGGAGGGGGGGGGGCAGAAATATGAATGAAAGGGAAAGGAGCCCTATGGCATGGTTATCTAAGCATGTTGGAACAAAGAAGGAAGTGAGACAGAGCTGCCTGGTGTTATAATGATGATGCTCCTGATGTATCATGAAGAGCATCCTCATAAAATGGAAGTTCTCCTTCTTCAGAGTTTGTAGTCTTCATGGGAGGAGAGCTAGCAGAAGGAAATGAGGAGAACTGGGCGGGAGGGCAGGTATTGATTGGATGCACTTAGATAATAACCA